TATCTTTCTTTTCTTTCCTTTCTTTTTCTTTCTTCTCTCTTTCTTTCTTATTTTGGTGCGTCTTCTCCTTTTGTCGAGCCCCTCTATTTATAAGAAAACAGAGGCCCAACAAGTTGGCCAATTGCCAACAAAATGCAAATAAAATATATATATATATATACATATATATATATATATATATATATATATATTAATCACAATTGGGGTAGTGCATGTGGGGCGGCACCACCCCTTTATTTTATCTTTCCTAACATTAGCCACTCTTATAATTTTGTCGGAACTAGTGTTTTTCGCCATTAATACATAGTATTAATTAACTCAGTTGATTTACTAAGACTGACCCATAAGAAAGGTTCATCGACTAACTACTCAAGTTTTTTATTTATTTATTATTTTGTACAGGTAAAATTGGTGTTCGGGACTAAGTAAAATCTGCACTTTAGAGGGGTTTTTTTGCAATAAAAAAGCAGTGTTGGATTCTGTGTTTTCATGTGTATTTTGAACCTTTGGTGCTGTTTTTTAAGTCTATTGGTGATCGAATTGTTCGAGTCTTCGATTAGTTTGAAAATATTGAAGCTTGTGGCCTCGATCTATTAGAAGGGTAATTTAGGAAAATGCTACAATCCCTCACGAAATAATTCCGTGAGAATTTTTAGCCATTAAATAAACATGCAACTTCCATGTATCTACAATAACTGTATTTTAATGGCTCAAAACCCTCACGAAATCATTCTGTGATGGGATTGTAGCTTTTTCCGGTAACTTATAATGTAATGAAAAAAAATAAAGAATGCTAAAGCGATTGGATGGTATTTTTATCTTTTTTTTTTTGTTTTTGTTTCATCGATTTTTTCTTTTACATAAATTCAATCGAATACAGAACTTTTTAAGAAAATTCTATTCGTTTGATCGATTTTTTGTTCTCCTTAATATTAATAATATGATCAAATAAATAATAATATATCAATACCTAAGCATTTTTTATTATTATATTTTATTTCATATTTATTCACAATTTTTATATATTTCACTTTTCAATAAATTTTTTTCCCCACTCTCTAGTTTACTTAAGTAACATTAATAAAAATTTATTAATATAGTAAGTTTATTTGTTGTATATAGAAGATTGGGTCCACTATGGAGCCAACTGTTGGCTTCATAGCAAAACCGTATATGGAATTTGTTGATTGCCAAAAACCAATTTGTTGACTATCTTGCCAATGTGTTTGAAGTTTGAACACCAAGTGTGGTTATGAGCCAGTATGAGTTGACCCGCGTGACCCGTATTGGCAGCACTGACCCGACAACTAGTTGACTCATGTGACCCACTTATTTATTTATTTATTGTTCCTTCTAGCTTATACATATAAAAAAAATACACACTGACATAGAGTGGGATTCATTGATTTTTTAATTTTGGTCGGTTCAACTCAACATGAGTTTTATGTACACCCATATGTATAATATTATGTAAATATATATAGCATTTCTCTACATATAAATATATTTATCTTTTCCTGTAGTGTATTTTGTGTGTGTGTATGTTTGGTTGTATTTTTAGTTTTCATTATTTTTTTTATTGTATTGTATTCTTAGACTTCTTACGGGGTGATTGTTTATGGATTCAACTAATTTTTATTTGGTTTGATTTTTAACTATAGTTAGTTTTGAAAAAATGTAGTATGATTAGTTGTTAGTGAAATATATTAATATCTATATATATATAATTACTAGCTAATACATTTAATAAAACATTTAATAAAACCTATTTTCATTTCCCTCCAAAATGAGTTACATTTTTTTAATTAATTTCTCATTAATCTACTAAAATCACTACACTTAATATAATATATATATTTTTATTATTTATTTTTTGGATTAGTTACTCAATTAATTCTAAATTTGATAGCAAAATATTCAATGTGTAACGGCTAATATTGGAACTTAAAGTTGATTGACACATTCAGAGCTGTAACCGCTATATTTAATTGCATTGTTGAAAGAAAAGTATGATTCACACATATTTTTTTTTCTAAAAATCAGAAACACCAATAATTTTTTTATTTATGTTAATTTTCTTAATACATACCACAAATATATAAATTATTTTATTTATGTTACTAATGTAAACGTTGCATGGTTAAAATAAAATTTAATCTCAATTAATTTTGAATGATAAAAATAACTTAAAAAAAATTATAGTTTTTATATGATAGAAGTACATGTCTAATTAATAAATACAAACAAAACGTGTTTTATATCTGTGCAAATGCACATGATCAAATACTAGTAATATCTAAATATAATAACTAAAGTTGATTTGATGTAGAGAAAGAGAACAATAATTGGAAGTGATAGATAGTTATAATTATATGAGTGGATGAATAGTGAATTAAAGTTGATATGATATGTAAAAAATGATGGGTTGATATTATTTAATTATATTGATAATGATTGCGTTTGGTTTCTAGCGTTTTTGCCCAAAACGCTATAATAGCGGGTTTGACCAAATCAAAACGCCAAAAAATGTGTTTGGTTGGGTAGCTTTTTATATCAGCTGATTGGGCCGAAACGCTGAAATAGAAAAAGCTACATTTTGGAGTGTTTTATGTTGGTGGTTGGCGAATATGCTTGGAATTAATTGATTAATTTGATTGTTATTTAATAACCTTTTAAAAGGTCAAAAGTAACATGTGTGAGTAGTGTACATGATACATGTACATGTGTGACTGTGTGAGTAGTGTGCATGATATATGGTTTTTTCGAAACTGGTCTAGAATAATTTATTTTTAGTATTAAGAAATTAGATGAAATATAAAAATAATTTATTGTTCTATAGAATAATTATTTACCTTTGGTTTTATTGAAACTTCGGTTGTCAATCAAAAAGTTTCAAGCGTAAAGAATAAAATTTGTGCTATTATGTTTTTATTAAATTTTAAAATTACAAAATATGCTAATTATAATTTTTAAATAATTATAATAAAAAATATTAAATTATTTATAAATATTATTATTATTAATTTAATATACTATTAGATAATAACAAATAATTAATTTTACCAAATATTTTTTTTACAAACAACTTATACATTCTAATGGGTAAAGCAACTATTACTATCAGCTGGTAAAATTGAGTTTTTTTCAAGTAGAACAAATGCCAACAAACATTGTTTGAATAAGATAGAAGTAAAATTATGTTATTTTTGTTACAATAAACTGAAATTAATTTTGTATTCGAAAAAAATTGAATTCAATTATATGGTGTAAGAACTTGTTAGATGTGCTGTCAAAAAAAAAAAAAGTGAAATATATATGATTATATATAGTTGTACAAGTGAGAATTGAAATAAATTAATACTATTCAAATTTGATCTATAAAAATAAGTTATTTCATATTTTTTTTATCAATATTAATAAATTAATGTTATTAAAAATTATGTTCTTTCATATTTTTTTATCAATATTAATAATTTATTGTTATTATTATTACTTGGGTAATTATATATTTACTCACATTACTTATTTTATTCAATTTATTAATATCCATTAGCTAATTTTACCAAACGCTTCAAAACCATCCGCTAATGTAATCCGCTGGTCAAAACAGCCAATACAAATCCGCTGGTCAAAACAGCTGATATAATCAGCTAATAGCTAACCGCTGATTGCCAAACAAGCCAATATGTGAGATAGTGGACTTGATTTAAAATTGAGTTAAATTTGAATTTTGATTGTTTATTTACCGTGTAAACCATAAACAATAGCCCCATTAGTAACCCGAAAACAAATTGACTCTTGTTAATTGTCATACTTTTTCAATATTACGTGCATAATTGTGCATATTTTTAAATTAAAATGCCATACTTTAAAAACTAATACAAACAAAAGTGTGACATTCTGTCTTCCATATGTGAATATTCTGAAATTAAAATGTCATACTTTAAAAAACAATATAAATAAAAATATGATATTCAATGATATAAGTAGGCTTTTTTTATTAAAAAAAAATGTATGATGGATCGATTCGTCTAATTTTAGACCGTCTCACATACAAATTTGAGAAAAAAAAAATTATTATATTTTGATCGATATATCAAATATTAATAGTGGAATAATAAATATTAAATTTATTTATAAATTTAAAGTACTAAAATAAAAAAAAAAATCACTATACAATTCACGGTCAGAAATAGAATTGATATTATTTATTTATTTATTTATTATTATTTATTTTGTTTTATTTTTATCAAAAATACTTCACCAACCAAAACCAGCACAGCCATCATCATCTCCTTCCTCACCAAACCACCAAATTCCATCACATTTTTCCACTCTTCAAAACTCTCTCAGTACGTAGATATATACACACACTAATACTCACAAACCCTCACACAGTTTTTACACCTGAAAAGCCACTCAAAGCCCAACCACTTTATGCTACAAACTGTAACCTTCTTCCCTGCAACAAGATTTTCCCAACCCGAAAAATTGCGTATATTTGGTAAGCATTGAGGTAAGTTGCTCTATCTCTTTGCTTTCTTTTTTGGATTTATTTTGGTAGTCGAATTTATTATTGGGCTGTTTGTGTTTTGTTGTATGTTTATTTGGTTGCTGCAAATCACACACTCTTGGTAAAAGGGGTTGAATTGAATTTGAAAATGCGATCAGCAGCTCACTTATCTGACAAACTTTTGTTGGGTTTTGAATCCCTTTTCAAGTTTCTAATTTTTTTTTTGTTCTTTTTTGGTAATGGGTGCTCAAGAAAAGTTTTTTTTTTTTTTTTTTTTTGTGCTACAATCTTCTGATTTAGCTGGTTTTTGCATCTGGGACTGAGATTAATGACTATAGTCATTGGGAATTTTGTTTTCTGCTTGTCGAATGTTCCGGTGATAGAGACCCATTTGGAAATTACTTGAGATTTGAGTTGCTCATGTCTTTCCCCCCTTTTTCATTTGTACTTTTTTCTCATTTGGGATTCTCAGAGAGCTTTGAGCAACATGGAGAGTGGGGAGGGGATAAGGAAGAATCAAACCTTGATATGTGCACCATTAATGGCTGACACAGTGGATCAAGTGGTGGAGTTGATGCACCAGGCAGAATCGAAGGGAGCTGATATTGTGGAAATTAGGTTGGATCACTTGAAGAGCTTTAACCCTCGTGTGGATATCGAGAAGCTAATCAAAGCATGCCCTTTGCCAACTCTATTTACTTACAGGTTGATAAGCAGCTGCCTTTTCTGATTATTGGGTTCCTCAAATTGTGTAGTTTTCAGGAACTGATATCTCGGATAAATAAGTCATTTTCTGGATGTCGTATGACTTGTAGGTCTTAAGTGTATACTGATGTTGCATTTGACGAAACAAGAAGACTGAATTGACATGATTGGCATATGTTATTCTATACAAATCTAGTGTTCTGATCTGTTGAATTTTTACTTTCCCCAAGGCATTTGGTGTTAAAATATGAGTTCTTTTAATGAGAATGAGAATTATATGGAGGAATAAAAATTCTATGGATCCTTATGTTAACTATAAAATATATTGTTTGTTGTCAGATGTTTGACCCTTTCTCTTCATTCCTGAACCTCATTGTATTTGTAGTGTAGGATCTCACCCAGCAAAAACTACTGTCACGATTCAAAAAAAGCTAAATCAAGGTTCCTTGTGGTACCGTCATATATTTCAGTCTCGTCCATCATTGTACGCTAATCAATTATATTTTGTAAAATTTATCCCGTTTCTATTTTCAGAAAATCATAGCAAGTGCATAAAGCTACTCGTAGATGATTAAGCTATAAGTGGCTAAAGGCTATAGCATTAGCTATAGTGACTCTAAAACACTATTTTGTTTTCTTAAAGAATTTGCAAAAATTGGATTCTGAAGTTTTCACATCTTTGGCGCCATATTATCCACCTTTCAAACTTTCATTATTTCATTATTTTACATAGGTATTTGAGCTTGTATACTCACGAAAGTGTTCATTTGAGAACCTGATATAATATTTTTCTTCTAGACCTATTTGGGAAGGTGGTCAGTATGATGGTGACGAAAACAGTCGTTTCAATGCACTTAAATTGGCCATGGAGTTGGGAGCTGATCACATTGACATTGAGCTAAAGGTACACTTATGTCTTGGATTTTAGTTTCATCGAAGACATGTAGGTGGTCCGTGGATGTCGAAAATCATAGCGTTGCGTTTTTACATAAATTTTTAAGTACTTATGATATTTTCTTGGAAGACTACCTACAATTTCTTATTTAACACACTGCTATTCACGAGTAAAATAATAGCCTTGTCTTTGGTGGAAACTATGTATTAACTAGTTACACATCCAAGCCCGGCCAGCATGCGGCTACTACCATACAATAACTGCATGTTACATTTTTCCTCTATAGTTTATCCTTGTAGCTGGAAGCAACAAAAATAGCACAAAACATTTGCGAGATCTCATAGGCTGATTTTGATCTCAAGAGAATAGTTGATATTTCTTTGTCATCTCCTCATAATGTATATAGCTTCAACTGTTCAACATGATGCCTTATTCTCTGAAGGCTGCTCACGAGTTCAACAGTTTCTTGCGTGGAAATAAGCCTGAAAAGTGCAAAGTTATCGTTTCTTCGCACAATTACGATAATACCCCGTCAGCTGAGGAACTGGGGAACCTGGTTGCTAGAATTCAAGCAGCTGGGGCTGACATAGTCAAATTTGCCACAACTGCAACAGATATCACTGATGTTGCGCGGGTTTTCCAAATTACAGTCCATTCTCAAGTGAGTACTGAAGCATTAAAGCAAATTCTTCCACACATTTTTCTTTCTAATCGTGAAAGGTCCCTTTTGTCTCTGCATTCATCCCAATAATGAATTTGCATTTTGCTCTAGTGGTAGAGTTTTACCTGATTAATTCTGTAGAAGCATAAGCTTTCTCACTTGTGTGGATCTTGTCAGCAATTTGCAAATCAAGATTTTCCATGAGGGAGGGGGTCCAAAAAGTTGTAATTGGCGAAAGACGCTATTCTTCTTAACCAAATGTGAACTTTCAGCCGTAAAATGATTTTAGTTTGTTCATATGTCACTCCTTCAATAATACTAACTACAATAAATTACCCTGTTATCTATAATATACAATTACTTTTATATATTTTGAATTTACTTCATAAACTAACTCGAAAATACCTATCTCCCTAAATTATAATAATCCACATGGCATTTGTTTCCCATCATCAAGAGAACCTCAAGGAGCGTATTGTTTCATTTTTAAGTAAGGTTTGTGCCATGGTCAAGGAGTGAATTGGATTCAACGCATAACATTGTTTGGGATATTTGTAACGAGATAAGTGGAGTTTTCTGGTAATCAGAGTAAACATTAGGGTCATATTTGTAAGTATCCCTTTTTTAGTGTTGCACTTTCTTTCTTCAAGTGTTTCATGCTTGTAGTCATTCGTTGATTAGAATAAACACGTGGTGACGGTTAGGTGCTTCAAATATTACAGCTTCTGTTTTAATCTTAAATTTATAGTCAAATCTTCAGATACCAATAATTGCCATGGTTATGGGTGAAAGGGGACTCATATCGAGGATACTCTGTCCTAAATTTGGTGGATACCTCACGTTTGGCACTCTCGAGCCAGGAAAAGTATCTGCACCTGGACAACCAACAATCCAAGAGTTGGTTGACTTGTTCAACTTTAGGTTGATTGACTCTCATACAAAGGTATTTGGTATCATAGGGAAGCCGGTTTATCACAGCAAGTCACCCAAGCTGTATAACACAGCTTTTAAAAAGCATGGATTCAATGGAGTGTTTGTGCATTTATTGGTGGATGATGTTCAGAGATTCTTTGAGACATATTCCTCGCCGGATTTTACTGGTTTCAGGTGAAGGTTTAAATTGCCGTATGGTGGTTTTCATGCATGCATGTCCCTGTCACTAGTTTTTGGCCTCTCCTGTTTATCCTCTCAATATGTGTTTTCATCCGAATTTTGTCTTTATGAATGCGGCGTTTAAGTTTGTAAGTTTAGTTGCAAAATTATCTTTAATGCTCAGTCAAATTATCTTCAGATTGTTCATGTGAACATCTTTATCTTGAGGTGCAATTTTTATGTGATATTTTGAATCTTAGCGCCATATATTACACGGAATTTTATCTTTACAGTGTAATTCTTTTTACTATGGAAGTAAGCTTAATGAGCAATTAATCTTGCAGCTGTACGATTCCTCATAAGGAAGTGGCTCTCACTTGCTGTGATGAAGTTGATCCCGTTGCCAAGGTAGTTAAATTACATGTTTAGCCCAGTAATTATGATAATCGAAATTTCCAATCCTCTCTAATGTAATATATTTGAATCTAAATTTGATTCTTGAACTTATCCAGTCGATAGGAGCAGTTAATTGCATCATCAGACGGCCTAATGACGGGAAGCTGTTTGGTTGTAACACAGACTACATTGGTGCAATTTCTGCAATCGAGAGTGGCCTTCAAGGTTATTTCTATAGCTTTTTACCATGCATCGTTAGGATAGAAGTAATTGTTACGTAAACGCAAACCTCAGAAGGGCGCATTGTAACATTTTTTTTTAAGGGAATGTGCAGTTTCTGAATGATTTGTTGGTCTTTTGTAAATTACCATTTTTCTTAAGGGATACCTTGTTTTTTTTATTTGTTCACAGCTTCACATGGAGCAAGTGGGACCGGGTCACCTTTAGCGGGTAAGCTGTTTATAGTGATTGGTGCTGGAGGTGCTGGAAAGGCACTTGCTTATGGTGCTAAAGAAAAGGGTTCGAGAGTTGTGATTGCTAACCGTACTTACGGTTAGATTCTCTCTGCTCCTAATCTCTGGTTCTTAATTCTTTTTTTTTTTTTTTAATATGTTCTTGATTGATTTTTTTCCTTTGCACTTGCTGGTTATAAAAAAGATCGAGCTAGAGAACTAGCTGACCTTGTGGGAGGGCAGGCTTTGTCTCTGGCTGATCTGAGTAGCTTCCATCCCGAGAAAGGGATGATACTTGCAAACACAACTTCTATCGGGATGCAACCGAGAGTTGACGAGACACCTGTTCCTAAGGTCTGTTGATTTGTGTATAAAAATTCTTTATGGGTATATCAACCAAAAAAAAAAAATTAAAAAATGTGTTGTTACAAACAGCGTGAGGTGCAATTCGCGTGCTGCTTACAATATGGCTTCCACCGAAGCCAATTTAGTAATTAGTAAAGCTGAAACAAACGTCATGGGGTTGTTTCTAATTTTGAAGAAAAATGTGTGTTGATTTATGTATTAGACTAATGTCTTCCTTTCTTTTTTTTTTTAGTTATTTTCCTGCTATGGAAGTCGATAATTTGTGAATGTTATATGGGTTTGCAGGAAGCTCTGGGATCTTACGAGCTCGTATTTGACGCGGTTTACACCCCCAAAATCACTAGGCTCCTTCGTGAAGCTGACGAAATGGGAGCGAAAATCGTGACAGGTGTCGAAATGTTCATCGGTCAGGCTTATGAACAATACGAGAGGTTCACTGGCTTGCCGGGTAAAGAACAAACTTAAAAATTGAAAAAAAAAAAAGAAAAAAAAAAGCTTTTTACTATCTGATACAATTGCTGATTTCACGTTTTAGCTTATTATTTATCGTTTGATTGCAGCTCCAAAGCACCTGTTCAAGGAAATCACGAAAGATTACTGACCGATTTCCTTCTGCTATAAAGAAAATCGCGTCTCGTTTGCACGCGTGCACGATTGTTGTCATTTTATCTATCTTGTTGTATCATTCTTTCCTTGTTCTTACATCCCAGGTAGATTGTGATTTGTCGTCGACCAGAGGATTTTATTTTATTTTATTTTTTCTTTCTTTCAGTAACAGCAGTGGATTTTTGACTGTTGGAAGGGTGATATGCAGTCATGATGAATCTTTATACTTTGTACTTATGGTGTAAGTTGTCGTTTCAATATGAATATCCTGAAAACAAAAATAAACAACTAATTTGATTTGTTACCCATTGAAAACTGTTTAAAAAAATGAGTGAATTTGTTATTAGAAAAATTGAAGTGACGGCCCGTTGGTTTTTTTTTAGGTTATTATCAAATTGACACTAGGTAAAAAGTACCAACTCCTATTTTTTTTTTTTTTTTTTAAAATATCATTTTTGTTTTTATCAACATCTATATCTATATCTATACTACTTTAAAAGGAGGAGTGTTTTTGTAAAAATTCATAATGCCTAAAAAACCCTTATTTTGACATAAATTTAATGCAAATTAGTAATACACTAATACACATCATATTTTATTTATATTTTTAATTCAAAAATGAACTACCTAAAAAATCCTTACTTTCACATGTTTTAAATGGCAATTTGGTAATATACTAATGCCATCATATTTTATATCCTCCCTATATATCATTAAAAAAAACATAACTTTTCTCAATTCAACATAAGCAAATCAATGAAAATAATATATTTTTAAAAATTTTATGAACAAATGTTGACTCGACAATATTATTAATGAATTTATGATTTGTAAATATTTAATTAAAATATTAATGAAAATATTGTAATTATATATAATATAATATAGAATATACAAATATTTGATATATAATGAGACAGATGATCGAAAAAATTTTATACTTTATATTATGTTTTTTTTTTTTGACAAATCTATAGTTAAGAACATGTGAAAGAACAAGATAAAGTTTTAAAAAAATATTAAATATAAGAAATAATATGAATAATAACTAAGTTGTGACACGTACTAATAAATATAAAACAAACTAATAAACAAAAATAATATAATTAATATAACTAAATATAAACCGTTTAAAAATATACTTATCGATGTAATCAAACTGAGTTGTTAAACGCTTGTTAGTTTTTTGTTCTTATTAATTTTATGTGTAAATTTGAGGTGATAGACAATAGTTATTTGTACATTTATACATGTAGATTAAAAAAAAATCTTTATTATTTTAATTTTAAATAACTTTTTTATTTACTATATTAGTTTTTTTAATATAATATATAAGTATCATATTGAACAGATAAAATAAGAAATATTTAATTATATAATATTTAATATGTAAGAAATGTAACCCAATTGGTAAATTAATAGGTAATCTTGTGATAAAATAATGAGTGATTTCTGAAAAAAAAAATTATAGGAACTAAAAAGTTCACGTGTTTAATATATTTTTAATAGAAAAATTGTAAACACAATTACTCAATAAATACTACATAAAAAATATAAGAAATCTTATATCCTCCCAATATGTAATTAAAAAACATAACTTTTCTCAATTCAATATAATCAAATCAATGAAAATAATATATTTTTAAAAATTTTATGAACAAAAGTTGACTCGACAATATTTCTAATGAATTTATGATTTGTGAATATTTAATTAAAATATTAATTAAAAATTGTAATTAAATATAATATAATATAGGATATACAAATATTTGATATATAATGAGGCAGATAATCGAAAAAATTCTATACTTTATATTATGTCATTTTTGACAAATCTACAGTTAAGAAAATATGAAAGAACAAGATAAAGGTTTAAAAAAAATATTAAATATAAGAACTAATATGAATAATAACTAAGTTGTGACACGTACTAATAAATATAAAACAAACTAATAAACAAAAATAATATAATTAATATAACTAAATATAAACCTTCTAAAAATATACTTATCGAGATGTAATAGAGTGAGTTGTTAAAAGCTTGTTAGTTTTTTGTTCATATAAATTTTATGTGTAAATTTGAGGTGATAGACAATAGTTATTTGTACATTTATACATGTAGATTAAAAAAAAATCTTTATTATTTTAATTTTAAATAACTTTTTTATTTACTATATTAGTTTTTTTAATATAATATATAAGTATCATATTGAACAGATAAAATAAGAAATATTTAATTATATAATATTTAATATGTAAGAAATGTAACCCAATTGGTAAATTAATAGGTAATCTTGTGATAAAATAATGAGTGATTTCTGAAAAAAAAAATTATAGGAACTAAAAAGTTCACGTGTTTAATATATTTTTAATAGAAAAATTGTAAACACAATTACTCAATAAATACTACATAAAAAAATGTAAGAAATCTTATATCCTCCATATATCTAATTAAGAAACATAATTTTTCTCAATTCAACATAAGCAAATCAATGAAAATAATATATTTTTAAAAATTTTATGAACAAAAGTTGACTCGACAATATTATTAATGAATTTATGAATTGTAAATATTTAATTAAAAAATTGTAATTAAATATAATATAATATAGGACACACAAATATTTGATATATAATGAGACAGATGATCGAAAAAATTCTATACTTTATATTATGTCTTTTTTGACAAATCTACAGTTAAGAATATGTGAAAGAACAAGATAAAGTTTTAAAAAAATATTAAATATAAGAAATAATATGAATAATAACAAAGTTGTGACACGTACTAATAAATATAAAACAAACTAATAAACAAAAATATTATAATTATATAACTAAATATAAACCTTCTAAAAATATACTTATCGACGTAATCGAACTGAGTTGTTAAACGTTTGTTAGTTTTTGTTCTTATTAATTTTATGTGTAAATTTGAGGTGATAGACAATAGTTATTTGTACATTTATACATGTAGATTAGAAAAAAAAATCTTTATTATTCTAATTTTAAATAACTTTTTTATTTACTATATTAGTTTTCTTAATATAATATATAAGTATCATATTGAACAGATAAAATAAGAAATTTTTTAATTATATAATATTTAATATGTAAGAAATGTAACTCAATTGGTAAACTAATAGGTAATCTTAGGATAAAATAATGAGTGATTTCTGAAAAAAAAAATTATAGGAACTAAAAAGTTCACGTTTTTAAAATATTTTTAATAAAAAAATTGTAAGCACAATTACTTAATAAATTATACATAAAAAATATAAGAAATCTTATATCCTCCCTTTATGTAATTAAAAAACATAACTTTTCTCAATTCAACATAAGCAAATCAAAGAAAATAATATATTTTTACAAATTTTATGAACAAAAGTTGACTCGACAATATTATTAATGAATTTATGAATTGTAAATATTTAATTAAAATATTAATAAAAAATTGTAATTAAATATAATATAATACAGGATATACAAATTTGATATATAATGAGGCAGATGATCGAAAAAATTCTATTCTTTATATTATGTCTTTTTTGACAAATCTACAGTTAAGAACATGTGAAAGAACAAGATAAAGTTTTTAAAAAATATTAAATATAAGAAATAATATGAATAATAACTAAGTTGTGACACGTACTAATAAATATAAAACAAACTAATAAACAAAAATAATATAATTAATATAACTAAATATAAACCTTCTAAAAATATACTTATCGATGTAATCGAACTGAATTGTTAAACGCTTGTTAGTTTTTTGTTCTTATTAATTTTATGTGTAAATTTGAGGTGATAAGACAATAGTTTTGTACATTTACACATGTAGATTAGAAAAAAAAATCTTTATTATTCTAATTTTAAATAACTTTTTTATTTACTATAATAGTTTTTTTAATATAATATATAAGTATGATATTGAACAGATAAAATAAGAAATATTTTAATTATATAATATATAATATGTAAGAAATGTAACTCAATTGGTAAATTAATAGGTAATCTTGAGATAAAATAATGAGTGATTTATGAAGAAAAAAAAATTATAGGAACTAAAAATTTCACTTGTTTAATATATTTTTAATAGTAAAATTGTAAACACAATTACTCCATAAATACTACATAAAAAATAATGTTTGAGAGGACTACAAAAATTTTGCTATACTGCAATGAAAAATTCAACGATAAGGTATTCTACTGAAAATTTCAATGAATATGTTGCTTTCATTGGCTATTCCAATAGAGTTTCAAATTAAATTACATGAACTTTAGTGGATGTAAAAATTTCAATTACCTGAATTTCTATTGGAATTTATTTTTTGGACCATATTTCAATCGTTGAAAAAATTGTCATTGGTATTATCCAAAAATTCAATAGAAGTTCCATTGGAAAGATAATTGCAGTGATAGATTCAAAATAATTTAATATTGGGAGCATTATTTAGTTAATAGAAAAAAAATATACCGTCAAAATAACATGTCATTGCAATTTATAAATTATACTTTACATAATCTATCACCTTTCTCATTTGTAATACATTTTAATAAATCTATGCAATCACAATAAGGTAAAATATATTTAAGAAACCAAAAGTCAAGATTTTTCTAAAATCAACATAAGAAAATCGTTATATTTGTTGTAATTTTTGTTGGAATTTTCTCATTTTCTTATAGAAAACTAAGACTCCAAATCTATAAAAAATAAAAAAAATAAAAAAAATACATTATATATACTATTGTGTGCAACTATTATTATGAAAATTTTTGATACGATAGAAAATATAACACATTCAATGTAATTGACGTTCAATTTATGATAAGAATTAATTTTTTCAAAGCAAACAAGATACTTTGAAAGGTCCTTAATTACTTTATTAGTATTGTAATAACTAAATAAGGGGTAAGAAAGATGACAAAACTTATAACTCTCATTAAATCCAAAAGTAAAAATGCTGATAAAATTACTTAATGTACAATATCAATTGG